TATAGTTCTTAATCAGATACATTCTGAAAATACACATAGCGTATATATGCATATATGTACTAACAGTGTACATGCACTTAAAGAAAGATAGGATGATAGGGACTGGTAATATTTTTGTTAAATAAAGCCCTCTACTATTACAGCATGTAGGTGTAAGTGTTTTCATAGGAAGAGATAATATAGCTTTGCCCAGTATATAATTCAGGGGGATTGTGTGGATTTTTTTTTTAACATTCGAGTAGTGTTGAGTGAAGTCCAGTTGCACTATATTGTGTGTCCTCTTCACTACTTCATGTTCATAAATAGATATTTTGTTATCAACTGATGAGGTTGATCTGGGTTTCCCACATGGTTCTTCATTTGTCCTCCTTGCATACCACCTGTGCCCAAGTACCCCCTTTTTACGTCTGTGCGGCAGAAAAGGGAGATTATTCTGGCACTGGCTGCATCTAATGCAACTCCTTGATATTCTTATCCATAGGGGTTTGCCTTGTGTATTCTAGGTATCTGTTTTCAAATTTTAAAGAACTGCATTATTCCACCTTGAGAGGAGCATTTCTGTGTTTACTAGGGAAGGAGACCCTTGTGAATATATCTGAAATGAGAACTATAGCACTGTGGGGGTTAATTAGATGTGATAGATAGATTTGCAGTGATTCAAAGAAGAGGCATCATGTGATCTCCTTTCTCAAAGCCACTTGTACTTTTAGCAAGAAGGTGAACTTAGTGTAAGTTTATAATAAAGATTTCATAAAGCTATAGTTTTGGGGTTTTTCTCCTTTAGGAGTCAGAGAATATGGATCATGCCAAAACTTCTTTGGTTGGTAAAGGGGCATAATTTCCAAACAGCATAATGATAATGAAAGTGGCATACAACACATTATACCTGTGTTATTTTGTATCATCAAGCCAGAAAAGTAGATGTTTAGACCAGTTTTCAGTGTGTTTTCATACAACATAATGCTTAAACAAGGGTAATGCTCAAGCCTTGTAGACAAGGCCAAATGTAAAGAACTTTGAGGAGTGAAGGGGCTAAATATGCCTCAGAAAGTCTTAGTGAGAGTTGGTTGATGTCACATATTGTTGAACGAGCTGGAAGAGGGTGTAATATGCATCAGCTTAGATTTCATTTAGTCTCATTTGGACTCTCCATTGAATTTGGTCTTGTCTCCATAAAGTACTGTCTTTGCTATGAAAGAATCAAAACAAGTCCATGAATGAAAGAAACCCTGACCCTACTGAAATCAGAGACAAAACTCTCATTGAGAGCCAGGATTTCATCTCGCATGCCTAGAATTTTTCAGAGGCATTCAAGAATATTGCAAAGCCCCCATAAGATTTCCGCCTAAAAAGAGATCCAAAGTAATGTGTATTCCTCTGCTCACAGACCTTCCCGTAAGGAATCTACCCACATTCATAGTGAATTTGGGCCTTGGAACTCTACAGGTTCCTGCTTTCTTTCCCTGAGGCAGGTCTCTGAAATCAAATGCTTCTGTGTGTGATAACTATTTCCAGGGTTTTGTGGATGCAGCTGAAAGCTCTGCTCTGAAAAACAGCCGTGGTTTGGCTGTTTCATGACTTTCAGTTTTGTGTGGGAAATAAGGGCTACACATCTGGACAAGATGATGAATGATAGTTTGACAAATCCTGAATAGGACTTCGGGTTTCAGGTGCTGTTGAGCTCTTTTTTCCTATGTCTCTTCAGAAGTAGAGCAACTAAATTGCAAGTTGACAGAAGGCTCAGTGTTGGTTGCATACGGGGTTTTTGGCCTGATTCTGTGAACTTAGCTTGTGAATCACAGAGTGAGCCCAGTGGTGAACACTTCAGAAGGCGGCAGGAACCTGCATTGCACTGTGCTGTGTATAGGCAAGCAATTATATTCCTGACTGCTAGAGGAACCCACTTAACAAATTGAGCTGTAGAAAACGGGAACTACCTGATGGAGCAAACAGAATGAAGGTAAAAAAGCCTCTGAATTTCACTTCTGAGGCTGCTGTGCTTAAGTGATTGATTTTTATATTAAACTTATTCCGTTATCTCTTAACATCCCCTACCTACCTACACACATGCATGTTCAACTTCATGCCGGGGGTGTGGGAACTAGTTTTTCCTACAGCGTTGGCGAACTGGAGTGCTCTTGTTGCTTTGTGGAGTTAATGCTAGTTATGGCATATCTGAGATAGAAAGAAAGACTTTCCTGTACAGGCACAGCAAGGAACCCAAATTCAGAGCATGCACAGCCCCTTTTTTTGTGTAAAGCTGCAAGCAGGCTGGCCGTGAGGCCCTGGGAGGCAGGTACAGGCAGGCTACCAGCTCTGCTTTCCTCTGCGCATATGCACGTTCCACAGATGTTGGCACTGCTTTCGTAAATTGTGGGTGATTTTACAGCGGCAGCTGAAGCACTTAAGCCTCGTTATTAGAGTGGGCTCCTCAGGGATGATATAATGAGAATCTAAGTAGATGTACCATTCCCTCCCACAGTGGTTGGAGGTAATGAGACTGCCATCCTAGGAAGTGTGAAGGAGAGTCATTTGTCAGTACTAGGAGTCATTAGGAAGAGAGAGACTGCACAGGAACCCCGGGAAATAAAAGCCAATGGAGACATCTGTAAAGCAACATGTGCAGGATGATTCCACGCTAATTGTCTGCCTTGTACTGTATGCATTATACAACATTACCAGTTCTCTATAAACAAATTATCTGTGTACCAGATACAAGATTAGCCAGCGTATGTTTATGGTTGTAAGCATGCTTAGTTGTGTCTAGTTGAGATAAAGAGGTGGGTATAAGATTTTCTTCCCCATATTTGTAGTGTTCGTGATAGAGGCATTGTAAATTGAACATGCCTGCATTTTGACTACCAATTCCCAACAGGTAAAATGTCCTTGTGCCTCCTCTGTTATGACCTGTCCACAGGTCAATAAATCCCTTTTGATTCTTCTCTTTCATTGAATATACTAATTGCCAATGGAAGCAGAAAGGCAGAATGACATGTCTCTAAAGGTTATAAATTTTAGAATTAATTATAACTTGAGGCCATCTCAATACTGATGGGTTTTTTCCCTATAAAACAATGATTTTGCTGAAAAGTAACTCATCATTTCTCAATAGAAACAAATAACATGAGTAAAATCAGCTTAACCAAGTTAGGTGTTTTACCATCACGGTATTTCAAAGGCTGGACAAGTACAACACAATATTGGAATGACCAAGTAAAGGACTATAGATTGAGATATGACAATCTTATTTTAAATAGTTGTTCATACTGCTTTTCAGAGTTAGTAAACCTAGCACTTCCTGTTACGTGGCCAGAAGCTCGGCATTGCTGCACCCAAAATAGAAAATCACCATCAACTCATGTGGTTGAAAGAACATCATGTTTGGGAGATATCATGTACATTAAGTCATTCAGGGCTGAAATATCCAAGTGGTAAATGTAGAATTTTGCACATGCATTCTTCTGGACAAATTTTGTACAGCCAAGCCCCCTGAACTGTGCATGTACTTTTTAAAACATGTATGTGCAGATGGATTAACTTGTATACTGACAGAGGCCTCTGTGGCACATCTCTCAGTGAGGTTTGTAAAGAGCATTTTTTTTTTCCTCCCTTGTGGTGCCTTTTAGATTGGCAGGTGACCGTTCAAGTAAAAGAGGAACTTTTGTGTAAAGAAGACTTCCTTTCCCCCCCCCGCCCCTGCCAAATATATAAATAAGAAGTGTGCTGAGTCTAAGGTTTTGCGTCCTCTAACGGGACATAGGAAACCTATCGCTGATAGGAGGCCTGCAGTTTCTTTTGTGTTGTGTTTTATAGCCCTCCTGTATTTGTCGTCCCCCCTTTTGTTTTTTCTTGCATTGTTGATCAGCTTTTCAAGGTTTTTTTAAGCCCTTGTGCATACCTGAAACGTGGAAGGGGTTTGATGCTCCCCTACTTCTCACCATTGTGGTCACTCACACCCATGTAAAATAAGCACCCATGTGGATGGTTTTTGCTTGTGCGAGTTTGCGCTAGCGTGAAGAATGGCACAAAGTAAAAGGCAGCAACATTCTTTTATGGTACACGCAGAATCATGTGTTTGGATATCTGGCTGTTAAGTCTTGATGCATGGTTCTGCAACAGCCCTCTTGCCCTGACAGACACGGGAACTTTTAGGGCCGTTGGATTGCTGTGGTGGATTGTTAGGAGGCAAAGAAATAGTCCTGGTAAGAGTAATTCTACAAATGGAACAAACTGTGTGTGCAAAATGGAGTTCAAGTTTTTAGACATCAGGTTCAGATTTGCTAAATCAGCAGTGGTGAAGTATTGTCACCAGAGCCAAATTTGGCATTGACAGAGATTTGGGGTGGAACCAATGATATGGGTGCAGCCACCAGACGGGCTGCATTGCTTTACAAATTATTTTGCTATATCAAAAATCTCCTACTAGAGAGCTAAACCCATGAAAGAGTGTGTATAGAACAGTTATGCCTTTTGATATGGGCCAAGTGACCTAACAGCTATTTTCCATCTCTAGCTTCTGTATGCTTCTGGTTTAGGGAACTGTGGTAACTGCCAGCATCTGCTTCTATCTGCTTGGGAGTTGATTTCATTTTGGGTTTGCGTATCAACTAATATGCTCTGTGCCTGCGACTTTTAATTCCAAATATCAGTCTCCGTACTAAATCATTGCCAAGTAACCTTCCGTTCTTCTTTTCCATGCTGCCCATCTAATCACCAGCTGTGAGCACACAGCTCCTGCCTGCATGCCGTCAGAATGAGTCTGAGCTGCTCAAACCTCAACTCCAGCCTGAACACGAATTTTTGTCTCTGCAGGAATATCAGGAAACAAAAAAGTCACCAGGGCTACCAGTTCTTGTTATTGTTTGTATTTATATTTTTGGTTCAACTTCTTTTCTCCCTGGAGGTTTTGATTCCACCGATTTTGTTTGGGTTTGATTGGGCTTGCTTTTTTTTATTGCTCTCCCTCTTCTCATTTTGTTTTCTCCATTCTTTCATTGGAGGCAATGAGCCGTCCAGCGGTCGGAACTCCCCTGTCCCCTATCGTCCCGACAGCCGCCCTCTCACTCCAACTTACGCTCAGGCCCCTAAACATTTCCATGTTCCAGGTAGGAGCTGGCACTGTATGTGTCTCGGTGTCCTGTCACAGTGTAGAATGTAGCCTTTGTAACTTTTGTCTTGTCTCCATCGTTTCACGCTGTTTACCATGAGGTGCACCCACAGGGTTTGGAACTGCTCCTGCGCTTGCTGAGAGGGGTAGTGTGTTAAGAAATAGAGGGGGAGTTTCACTGTCATTTTTGCCTATTCTGTTGGTCAGGTGCTTCGCTGTTAGAATGCCTTGGTTTTCAGGGTCTGTTGGTGGCCGTGAGCTGGATATAAGCTACGTAGGGATTGATTTTTCTCGCAGTTGCACCAGCTGAGCACCAGCATAACTCTACTAACTTTGGAGGAGTTGGTTTTGATGACAGCAGCATGCAGAAAAGAGTTGACCAGTGAGCCATTACATATGTTGTTCATTCAGATTGCTGTGACTTGTTTCAGTCTTGAACCAAGCAGTTCTAGTTTAGTGTTCCTTTTTTTTAAAAGCAGATGGGGATGTTTCTTTACTTGTTTTGTGCAATGTCTTGGTGTGCTCAGAGAGACCTGAAGATCCACAGGGATATGTATGCCTCAGGGTGTTCTCTCTATAAAGGGCAGTCTCTGTTATAAAGTGAGCTGCACAGTTCTTCCACCCTCGGAAAGCTCATCTGTCTTGGATTTTGATGAGATGAAGGTGATGTGTCCCTAGCGTTGTTGACGTGCATCTTCTGACTGCATCAGTGCTAGCTGAAAGCCTTATTATATCCAGTTATTCTTCAGGTCCCCTTCAGCCTAGTATCCCTTCGCACTGCCAGAGTTTAGTGTTCCTCCTTTCCTCAGATCTGGCAGATAAACTGTTTGTGGGAACTTCTTTTTCAGTCATTGTGACCTGGCTTGGCTAAGGTAGGCTGTTTTAACTGCTTAAGCTAACCTGGCTCACTTTGACTTGCGTAAACTAAAGCGCACTTACGTGAATAGCTCCGAGTAATAATTTCTGGCGTGCTGGGAGAGCTGTCCTCTTCAGCTGGCACAGTGCAGCCACAGAAGGAGCTGCGTTCCTATCCTTAGAGCTTTCTGGTATAGATGTGCGCAAAAGCATTGCATGACTGCCCTTGTAATTTTTATACCTATTTGCTGGTTAAGTAGCCATAACAGATCACTAAGAAGAATGAGATACCTCAATGTCTTTGTGTGCAATGAGTTTGCCTGTTCAGTCAAGGATGTAGGGTTCTGCAGAGTAAGATCTGCTTCTGTTTCAATGGATTGTTAGGGTTAGCTTTCCTTAATGCCAAAGGCTAAGCTGTCTCCTGTAGCACTTTAATTGGATCTGTGATAACACAGCATCTATTTCTAAAATGCTTTTCATCTTTCATTCTAAGGTAACTGAAAACTTTTTTCAGGCAGTATGAAGTAGCAAAATGGGTTTCTGACATGAATTTTCTAGTTCCCAGTAGCTCACTTTGGTCTCCTAATAAGATTTTGACAGATTTTTGCACTGTAGCACTGATTTTGGATTAACTTTTGTACTTGTAGCTGTGCTGAATACATGAAGTATTGGCTTGGGTGGGAAGGTAGTTTAGAACAAACTGATTCCTGTCTTAGATTATTGTTTGTAAAAATACAGTATCTTTTAGACATGCTGTAGATTTACTGCATTAGAGTTCTGGAAAGTGTTTTTATTCTGATTTACATTGGTAATGTGCAATGTGGTGGGCCTTACATAAAAAAATGACAAAAAAGAAATAAAATCTCTCCTTGTGGTTTGAGAATTAGTAGTATATCAGTTAACACTGCATAAAGCATCCCTTTGACTCACTGAAGAGTAGCTGTTGTTGACTGTTCAAAACAGTGTATTAGGCAGCTGTTTTGTTCTCTGGATTTTGAAGTGAATTGTGGGCTCGCTGCATTCTCCTCTGCTCAATCCAGCCAGTCAGTTGGAAAGAAAATTGAGCTGCTACGACTGAAGCGCAATTTTCCACAAAAGTTATTTGGGGTAGTTTTGCCCAAATGGCTTGTATCTTCACCATTGAAATGTCTTGCTTGTTCACATTTCTTCTGTAACTTTTATCCCACTGATAATCTTCTGAATGTTTGAAATGAATGGTTCATGACTTGGATGCATCCACATGTTACAGAATCAGCTCCAAAGGACTTCATACCACATGTCTTCGACTTTTCACTTGTTCTTATGTTTTCTTTTCTTTAAACAATCTGATTTTGTATAATACTAGAAATAGCTTTCTGACTTTTTCTTGTGCTACATCCTTGATTTGGTCTGTCTATTATTTTAGTGTTGGAGTTATCTTTATCTACAACTGAAGTAGTTTTCATATTCCCATTTGTTTGTTTCTCAATTTCACAGATCAAGGTGTCAACATTTACAGAAAACCACCAATCTACAAACAACATGGTAAATGATCTTTCCCTTTTTATTTCAAAACTGGAGTGTCAACTAAATTAAAAGGCATGCAGACTAGTGAAAAGCATTCAGTGTTTACTTTGTAAGCATTAAAAATTCGTAGTCCAAGCTTGAAACAGCTGTTGTTGCATGTCCTGCTGAGTGATTATGTTTTAAAGCATGTTGTTTCATTTGGATCATATGGTTTAAATCTTGGCCACGCTGATATTAATGGCAAAATTGCCATTAACTGGGATTTTGCTGTCTCTTTAGCATTATGATGCCTTCCTGTATTTCACTTCTTTAAGTCTGTATTTTCAGAATACAGGTACTGATCATGTTAAAATGGATTAACAACAGACTGTTCTCTGACAGGGACTTCATGGAATATCCTCACTTTAAACAGACAAAGTACAATGATTTCTTTCAACAGCAAAGGTGGAGATGTTATTATCAGACTGGAATTCCAAATGTACCTGTGGCTTTAAATAAGAATCTTTAATTATTGAAGATAATATAGGTGACTTATCACTGGCAGGGCTAATTTGATTCTCAAGCCCTGTGCTATAGCTCAGGTAGTACGCCATACTTATTTTTCCAGGTGTTGGGATTCTGAGCTGGAGACCGGTGGTAGTGCGCTGGTCTTTTCGGCGTAGGCATTGTTATAGCAAGTCTGAAACAACGGTGATGGCAGAAGCCAACTGCACTGCCAGTCTTTAGTACTGCAGAGCAAGGTGCCGGTTGTAACGGAGTGTGTTCACTCTTCCCTTCTGCTGTGAAGAGAAATCTTTCAATAGGCGATGATTTTTGTCATGTGGCGAAAGACGAGTGACTCCACTTCTTAAAGAGTTTGAGTTTGCATCCCTTTGCAGACCCTTTTTCCAATGAAATGTATTTAGGGTTAAGTAGCAAACTAGCAGTACTCTGCAGAGTTTAGAAGAACACTTGGCTGAGAGCAGTTGAGCCGAGATGATTAGGAAAGCTCGGGAAGTCCATTCTGTAGTCAGGAGTAAACGTTACAAGTAACACTGCTGTGGTTTTACATCAGGGTTTTTTTCTCTTTCTTTTTTGAGTTTCAAACCATATGCTCATTTTGGAAAAAATCTTAACATTATTTTTGTTTATTTTTACGGTTTTAATGTATCTCCTCACCTCCCATTAACATGTGAATGTTTAACCACTGACATCACCAATTCTATGTAAGTACTGTTTGAAGTCATGCTTTTGTAAACTGACCAGCTTTCTCCGTACCTGCAATTATGCTTAGAGTTTCCCAGTCATAAAATACTCAGAGTTCCCAATGATATCTAATACTGATGTTCCTAAACTACCCTGAACATGTTGGATGAGCAGCACAATGCTTCATTTTGTTAACAGATGTCTTTCTGTTTAAAAAAAAAAGAGAAAAGGAAAAAAAAAAGTCCGAATTCTTGCTTCTGATACAATAGCTTCATATAAGAGAAGGTGATATGAGCTAACAGTTTGCAGATAAGAGGTAGATAACGCTGGTTTTAATGTAAACTGAATCCTATTGGATTTTTTTTTTTTTAATGTCAAGAAGTGAAAGCCATAATGCACATCCTCACATGCTTTTAAGAGACTTTGGCTTAGACTGGAATCTTAAGTGGATGCCCCACTGCTGAGATATTTTTTTGGTGAGGTTCGTTTCATTGCAAGTGCCTTTCCCTGCCAAGTTGATCTGAATGGAGTTCAGTATTTATTAATAAATTCACATCTGCTTTTACTACTACTGCATGCTAATAAGCAAAGGCATGCAGCAGAAAAAAAAATCCACTGGTTAAATAAGCATATTTGTTTCAGATTTCTTTTTTTGTTTGTTTTGCAGCTTTTCACAGAAACAGAGGAAATAATTAGCATCAGTAGAGTTAAAATTAGTGCTGTTCCTCTGAACTATTCGTTTACTTGCCCTAGAGGGAAGATATATCAGTACATAAATCTGATTTCATCTTCATTAATAATCAGGTGTCCTTAGGAGATATTGGCAAATACTGTTAGACTGAATTTTCTTACTCTTGCCTAATCATTCTAACACTGTGCAGCCCTAGTAAAATCCAAAGCTGGTTTGGGGTTATTTTGGGGGTGGGGATGAGGGAGGAGAGGAAGGTTTGATTCCAATCTATTGGCAAGAGAAAGACATTACTTTGCCTCAAGCTGCAATTAGAAAAGCAAAACATGAAAATGTTTGCTTTTGGAAATTAACTTCTTGTAAAGTGTAAAATTTTGCCAAAATAAGGAAGACCTTTATATTGATACAGATGATTACATAGCTAAGTTCCCTGATTGCCATCTAGATGCAGCTGCTTTGGCAGCACAGAGCAAGTCCTCCGAGGATATCATCAAGTCCTCCAAGTTCCCAGCAGCTCATGCACCAGCACCCAACGAGATACCAAAGATTGAGACGGACCACTGGCCAGGTCCTCCCTCCCTTGCGGCCATAGGTATGCAAAAAAAAAAAATGGTACAAGTGATGCGGCTTAAAAGGTACTGGTAACCAAAGTAGGTTAACACTGGAGCTGTAAAAATGGGTAGTGAAGATTGTGTCCACTCCAGGTGTTTGCCACAAAGTGCAGTTCTTCTGGTGAGACTTCCGAGTGTCCGTGAATTTAAAACTATTGAATAATGCTGAGTTAGAAGGGGTTTTGCTAAAGGACTTTGGAATTGATCACACAGATATTAACCCATAGACAAATTATGTGAACTCCCATGCAGTAGCTTAAAAAATGTGGTGTGTCACACAAGCCTGACTTCTTTCAGTTATTGTCTGTTTAATCTTTTAGTCCTAAGCTAATAGCACATATTCCACAGAAAATATGGTTGCTTCCAACCACATGACTGTTTTCATGGCAAGAAGCAATGACTGAAGTGGAACAGTTAATGGACAAAAAAAAAGTCCTGATTTTCAGAGTTACTGTCTCTACAGACTTCGTATTTTTCTTCTGTGTTGTTGCACTACAGGTGTCTCATTTTCTTTTCTTTAAATCATATGATTTTTTTTCTTTAAATCATGTGAATCATGATCATTTTTAATTTTTTTTTGTTTTGTATTTTTTTCTCTGTTAATTTTTATTGACCCCCATAGCATAAAATAAGCTATCTAGCCTAGTTCATTCATTAAGTCATGTCTGAAACACTGAAGGTGTTGCCTGTTTCAGGTTTCTGTGAAGGAGCATATGGTTTTCCATGCAATGGGCTTTTCATAGAAGTGCTGGGAGAGGAGACACAGGGTGGGAGAGCTCAATGACCAACTGAAGAGGCTGCATGCGCAGTGGCAATTTTTTGAAAATGTCCTTTATATAGGATTGCAACCTGACAAACATTACAATCACAGTGATAACATCAACATACTTGAAACTCTCCTGACAATGCTTATGATAACTACAGCATTATTATGCTGTATGTCTGAGGTGGAGCCTTTGTTGGAAATTTTGGCTCTCAGCTCAGTCTGTATGCAGTGGATGACAACTTTTAATGGTTTCCAGTAAAACTGCTTTGTATATTGGCTATCATCAGGTGATTTTGTTACACCTTAGAAGCTAAACAGGACTGTTTGGAAACTATAAAGATAAAAATGTGCTCATGGACATATTTAATTCAGAAATCACACAAGATTTTATTTGATTTTATTTTATTCAGTCATCACACAAGACTAATCACTAAAAAACAAACCCACAAGCCCCAGGTTTTTTGGCTTGTTCTGTGATTTTGAGTGTGATATTTTGCTTACAGAGCTAGAATGAGCTCAGCTGTCAAAAGAATGAGTATTACTGCTGTTGTACTGAACAGTCTTGCAAAAGCCTGAGACACCAAACAAAATAATAAATAATTTAATTACAAACAATTTCTCCATAACTTTTTGTCTCTCTCCATATTAGCATCAATTTAACACTGCTGTACAAAACATTTAATTGATATAAACCTTCTGATACTTTAGTTGCAAAATTTAGTCTTCATTCAAATAAAACACTGAGTTTGTCTAGCATAAGATTGGTGAATAACTATATCAGGATACAGCCTGTGCAGAAAAAAATACAACTGCTGTCTAAATGCTTGCGGCAATACCATATTCTGTATATTCGTGGAAGTGTCCTGATGTCCAAATTGGACCATTTCTTAAGATTACTCACGAAAATAAAGGTTATTCAATAAAAAGTTAAGAAACTAGTGTAGAACACAAATCAGTTTGCTTCATTTTAGACCAAATATAATGCCTTGTTAATTCCAAATATGAGTGTCCATTTAGGAGATTAATGTAGTTTAATTTCCCATTTGAAGTGTTAATTCAGATTTGCTTTTCTGAGTCTAGATAAAAGTATAAATGTAAATCAGATTTTCTGTTTTCAACCACGGGTGCAGTTACTGGTGCCATTAAACCCCATGTTTCCAGAACTAGCAATCTGAGCTCCTTTTTTCTATTACATTGATTCATGGCTTTTGTATTCAGGACTGTTGCTTGGTTGGGAACCCGTGTGCAGTTTAACTTCTTGTTAATTTTATAAGAAGCCGGATAGCTGTAGGGCAGGCTATCTGAGTGAGTTTTATTAAGGGTGATTTTTTAAAAAGTCTTTTGACTCTGAAAGAAAATACTGCTTTGTTTATTCAGTAAATCAAACTGACCAGTACTTTCTAGCATTGAAATCTTCAAGCTGCAATTGAACTGATACACAAAGCTCTCTCTGTACCATGGTTTTATGGAAGCAGGAGCTGACATGAGGCGCAGATCAAGTGGAAGAGAGGAAGATGATGAGGAGCTACAGAGACGCCGGCAACTGCAGGAGGAGCAGCTCATGAAGGTGGTTATAAGCTTGTCTTCATGCTGTTTCTGAACACCATCCAAAAAGTTCCCCTTTGTTTTCTGTAAGCAATTTCTGCTGGTGCCTTGATCAGCTTTATTTTATTGATGTATTTTTTTAATTGCCATTTGTAGCTCAACTCTGGTCTGGGACAACTGATATTGAAAGAGGAGATGGAAAAGGAGAGTCGCGATAGGTCAGCCCTTTCTGCCAGTCGTTACGATTCTCCAGGTAATTAACGTAGGCAATAAAGCTAATAATGAACAGCGAATAATGAACCCCACATACACACATATTAAGCAGTCTCCCAAAAGAGAGACCACTGGGAAGACCGCTTGATATGCGTATATGTGATGCTCTCCTCTGAAAGAGTGGCCTAATTCGTTAGCTGGTGTTTTTGGTGAGGGGAGGAGTATCATAGTTGTTTTTTAATTAGAAGAAATATGAGGTTGGGGATTTTCAGGCAATTTTGAGGAGAGAGATTTTCTAATATAGATAAGGAGTGAGGTAAAATATTCAGTGACTATTACATCACACATATGCTAATAGGCTGGGTTATTAAATTACGATAACACATTTTTTAACTGTGGTTCCTATCACTGTTTAGGCTCTCCTCCCAGGGACAGAAAATCAGCAACATTTAGCAGTGGGGCTGCATATTCCAAACAGAGCCAATGTTGTTGGCCTTGGCTGACGTTTTGATTGGGGGTATTCTGTTCCAGAGCAAAAGCACAAAAGTCAGCTTTGGTCAATTAGTGGCTTAGTTTCTTGGCCTCATTGCATATTTTGATATACATCTGTGGCTGCCTCAGATCTCCAGAGAAGGGTTTGAGGGTTTTATTTCACTCTCTTCATCCACTGGTGATTGTAGCACAGCAGCTGTACTTCAAGCCAAGAAGGGACAGGATGAGTCTCTTTGGAGTCACCCACTGGAGTAGCTGCCAAGGAAACTTAAGATTTCCTCGTGTTCCCTGTTATATAAATGTGTTGCCTCTGTGGTCTTGGAGAGAACGTCTGTGGCTCTCCCTCACTACCTGTAATGTTTACAGGGCCAGAGTCTACCTGCTCAACTCAAAGCTTATGATTTTTTTTTTATTAACCTTAGCACAGGTTGGAGGACTCCTTTATTGGAGATGTGTCCATCCCTCTCTGCAGTGGTAATCAGTGCAGACGTCAGTTGCCTTTTGTGGAATCAGTGGTACCTTTATCAAAGCTGCTTGTTGCTGGCAACAGCAGTGCCCCAAGTTCTACATTCCCTGCCCTTCTGTGGTAAAAACATTTAAAAAAACCAAAAACTGCATTCTTATATGGAGGATCTTGTCTGAAGGGGCTCTATTAACTGTAGAGGTGCTACTGATCATTATGCTGACAATCTTTCTATTTATCCATCTTTTTATGTGTATTCGAAAACACGCCTTTGACATTTCCACATTGTCTTTGTCTTGCTCATGCAATTTCTGAGGTCAGTGCAAGTACTAAGTTGAATGCCCCCAGATACCTTATTTCACTTTCATTTCAGATGAAAGCAGGAGTCACAGAGGTCGGTTGAATCATGCCATGTTCTCAGAAGTGTCACATCATGTACAGCATAACTATAATTTCGGATAACTATAATTTTGGATCAGAATGCCAAATTCTCAAACGTGTTTGAATTCCCTCAGCCCTGCCCATTCTGATTGTTCTCCTGGTGAAGTCAGTACCAAAACATCTGTCAATTACAGTGTTACAGGACCGAAACTAATAGCCGTTTCTCCTTTGTAGCAAAAAATGGCAAGCTGAAGCATGTGAATACAGAGAATGGTGTGTATCTTGGCTTGTGCAGCAGCAGAAGCTGGGAGCATGAGTGCAATAGTAGTTGCAGTAGAAGGATAGAAAGGAAATTCATGAAAGGGTCAGAGGGTATGACGATATATAAACCGTGTGTGCCACTTAAGAGAGTGGAATTGAATGGACCTGCATGGGAGACTTAACAGGGAACCTACCCAGTCAAACACTGCTGATCTTGGATTCTCCTTGTCCTTTTTCTTGGTCCCATCATAGGGTGCACGGCAATACTTTACCTAGCTTAGGACTAAAAAGTTACTTTGCTCTGTTGTCTAATCCTTGAGCATTACTTTCAACTCAATGGAGACCACTTTGATTTTGAGCCTGGCAAAATCACAGTGTCACTTCTTGATGATCTGCCACCATGGCATGATAAAGCTGCACATAACTTACATAAGGTATGGAAGGTTGTGATGAGTCTGGGGCTGAGATGTTAGTTTCTTAAAATCAGTGTGTTTCAGTTGGTTATGTATGTGCTTAGCTCTTTTAACTGTGTTTATTGTGCCAGTTGGTTCCTCAAATGTTCTTGGTTTTGAGTTTTCATGGGATTTTTCCAGTAAAAGATTTTTCCCTTCCTCATTCAACAGCACATGCTTCAGCCTCCAAAACCTCTTCTCTCCCTGGCTATGGAAAAAATGGACTTCACAGGGTAAGGAGGTGGCAATTTTGAGAAGTGAAAGGTGGCTTTAATTATCCATGATATTTATTTCCATATTAACTGCATTGGATTTTCAGTTTGATCAGGCTTTCTTATAAAACCATCTGAAGTCAGATAAAACCTAATTTCCCTTCCCACAAACTACACTGTTAAAAAGGCAAGAAAGCAACGCAAGAAATGTAGTGAAAATGGAGGGGGGAAAAAAGGCTTAAAGCAATTTGTTACTCCCCATGTACCAACCTACTTGTGAAATCATGAACTGTGAATTTATGTGCATGTCCCTCTTTTCCTGTTACAGCCGGTGTCTACAGATTTTGGTCAGTACAACAGTTATGGGGATGTGAGTGGTGGTGTTAGAGGTAAGGCTGAGGAGCCTTTTTACATGACACTTCATTACTGAACATGTTACGATCGTTTCTGCTGTTTTATTTTAAGGTTGTGGATGTGGTAACTTTGTATTTGCTCAGTACATTTTAACTTCCTCTGCTAAACACAACAATTAAACTCTGCAAATACCTATTAAAAAGTTTGGGTTTATTTTGCTAAATATGCTATGTGGAGCTGATCCTTGTTTATGCCAAGGGACTGCTTTAGCACTGGTGCAAATGGAAAGCAGGTAACGTGTATATTATCAGGAATACGTACTGAGTTCTGTTACGGTGTTTTCTTCCTCTGAAAATGACCATCCACTGCACAGTCTGAAAGAACGTGCCACAGTGAAGAACGGAGTATAATGCCTTCTAATCCCTGTTGCTGCTCATGATTTTCATTATTACTTTGAGCTAGATAATTTGACAATATTTATGAAAGTTATGAAACTCTGAGAGTTAATGTTTTGAAATGGTTTGAGCTGAGAGAGAGACAGAGAAGGGCTAGTTATCTCCAAAGTGAAGTTGATCCCGGCCATCTTAGATACCCTATGGTCAGGCATCTTCTGTTGGCGCTTGGGTCTCTTTATAGGCTATGGAGAAATCTAGAGAGCTACCTGATGGCAGAGGTTAGGTGAGGTGAATCCTGCTCTACACATTTGAATTTTCGTTGGCTATTTATTCACTTGATTGTGGTTTTGTGTTTCTTAATATTTCCAAAGTGATTTTCCTGAATGAGAAGCCTGCTCAAAATGAAAAGGGCTGCATGTTTGGAGTGTTTGACTCTTTACAAACTAAGTCCAAAGGTAGGAAGGTTCCTGGCCGTAGAGAATCAGGTGGGATTTTGAAAAGATCAGGTAGGCCAGAAGACACAAGGATTATCTGGTAGATTGTGATTGATTCCTGTTCTTCCACACTCTAAAGCTGATGAGATTTCTCTTTTGCTTTTCAGATTTCCAGGTAGAGTACGGGTTTTCATCAATCAACTGACAACAGAACTAAAAGCATCTACTTTCTTGTTGAAGTTTGAATTTCTGCTACAGGGAAGGGTTTCTTAAGACAATAGCTTTGATTTTCCTGCATGTTTAAGCATAACCACCAATGTAGACTCTTATCAACAAAAAACAGGCACAGCCTCAGATTCCTCCTTGTTACCTCCCCAGAGCTGGGCTGAGACAGCTCGCACCAGTTCTGTGACTTGCTCTGTAAAATCCACTGTCTGTTGATATATGAGTTATCTGTCATAGTCCTCCCTGGACAGCTGACAGTGGATTTTTTTCCAGCCTCTCTAGTACTGACCCCAGAGACATATAGAAAGTCTCTTCTGGAGGCAATTTTCTCCCATACTACGAGCCTTGAACTCCTCGTTTTTACCCTGGAATTTGCTCTCCAGACAAGATGGCTGATCAATAGTTTTCTATGTGGTGCCATCACAGATGAGCCAGTAAGAGGTGGGCTTGCAAATATAAACCCTTTTCCTCCAAATCCTGTCTGCAGGGTTTTTTCCAGAATGGTTTGATTCTGGCTGGCTCCTCAGCACAATCACAATATGAAATGGCAATTTAAGAAAGGGTTTAATGACTTGGATAATTTTGTTAATGCTGTATCAAAATCATGATGATTGGAAAGAGAATAAGATTATGGGAGGAGAGAGGAGTTGTCCATGTATTGTGCTCAAAACGTTATTTTGTTAGGGACAGTACCTGTGTCAGAACAGCACCTTTTTACCCTGTCCCTGTTTGTGTTCATCGTAAAAATTTCCCATTGTAGAGACAAAAAAAAACCCCACCTCAGCTGATACAGTAAGTGACAGAAAGGACAGCCCAGAGGTGTAAGAGTACTTTGTATGCTGTTGGGTGGGATCTGAATTAATGCTTCTGCGTATTTGTCCAGAGAAGAACCCTGCTTAGTCACTGGGGTGGGAAAGTGCCCACCATTCTCTTGGGGTCCCCAAGTCCACCTGGGAAGTGATGTTGGTAGGCTCAGTGGGGAGCTGTTGCCAGCCTTAGCAGTGACAGAAGGCTGTGGTGGCAGAGGGGATCAAAGGATCCCTCTGCATGCCTCAGGGAAGTGGTAAACAGTAGCCATGGCAATGATCTATATGATAAGACTAAATATTAAAACTTGAAGGAAGTCTCAGGGCAAATTCACCTTTGTTTTCACCACTACTTGAGTGCCTTTACCCTCTGTGTGTGTAACCTATGTGTCTGATGTATACCTGTATCTGATGCAGTCCCTTCCGGATGGTCATGTCCCTGGAATGAGAATGGACAGAGGAGTATCTATGCCTAACATGTTGGAGCCAAAGGCAAGTGCAGATGTTATTCACTTGACTTCAAGACAGTGAGGATTTGACTGTGAAATGCAGATAAAATATTGGAAGTGTCTTAGTTCCCTTGTTTTTCTTTACCTCACCTCAGTCCCTGCTCCTTATGTGCTAAACCTCTCCCTTTGCTCTGGACATGGCCTGTTACAGGTGTTAGTACTCAGGCAGGCTGAGGGCAGTCCAGGTGTGCTTCTTGGGTTGAAGCTTTTCCAGAGACAAAACAAAGGTACTGAAGATACTTAATAGCTAGTTCTCTGTCAAGCTTCTACTAGCCAAAACAGCAGGCCAAACTCAATGGGAAAGTCTTAGATCTGTCAGGCTGGAAAAGTGATGCAGAATACTGTGGCTCACAACACACTGTTGAGGCTGTGTTAATTTAAAAATTAATGAAATACATGGATCTGTGTTTCAGATTGGAAGTTAGATACCTACATGTCTGTCTGGATCTGTTCTTTAGCTCTCAGCACTGTTAGCCTGACACCTTTCAATAATGTTGAATTCCCTGTATAAGAAATTCTTAAGGACATTTACTGGAAAAAGAGGCAATGTCAGCTGAATATAATATAAGATACAAATTAAAATGCTTCTGCAGCTATGTCTAGAGATGTCCGAGTCAAAAATGAACATAATATATTGAGGGGATTCAACCAGGGCTGTGTTTTAAATCTTATAACTTGCTCTATTGCTGGTGAGCCTTCTGAGAAATCATGATTTTTCTGAAGTTACAAGGATCAGCATTTCTGCAGTTAAGTGAGGAGCTCGTTTTGCAAACCAAATTACCACTTGTGCTTCCAAGTCACCTCCAGACAAACTGTACAAGGCAATAACCCTAGCTTTATAAGCTGAGACCCCAGTGCAATGTATATTAACAAGTGTTTTTATATATTATATAAATAAGACCTTGGGGACATCCCCAACTCCTGAGATACTACTTTTTATTCCAAATAATTTCTCTTTCAGTGCAATAGAAATTCTTACAGCCACCACTGCTGTTGATGCACCCAGTGATTTGGAATGTTATTTTGGGTGACAAATTCTGTCGGTATTATTAGTGATACAATTTACTGGAATTTCATGAGATAATAGGTCACTTTCTGTTAATGTTTATAAAGGTGATACCAGAACCTCAGCTTGTGTGAATTGGCAGTATTTTTATTCATGTCAATGGTCCAACACTAATTTAAACCTGATAAAGTAAAAGAAGCCAACTCAAAGTCAGCATGAAACACATGAAAAGTGAAAATCCATAAACTTAAGAATGACCAAATCTTACCAAATGGTTTCTCCAGAAAGGACAGAATTTGTGCATCCTGCCACCCCAGATTGAGACCTGCCTTGTTGTGAATATCTAAATATAACATGTACTTACGACCGTAGACCTTGACTTAAACTCTGCCTGTTTAAATATGAAAATTACATTTTAGTTTCCTATAATGCTGTATATAGCTGTTTCCAGTATCAAACATAAACAATGTAATTCAAAGTATAAACTTAATTGTACAACTGTGACAATGTCAGAATCTCCTAAGAATCATATCTTACAATTGGTATGTAAGCACATGCTATTTAAATTATTACTTACAATAAACTCAGTGGTGTGTTCATTGATGCCTGAATCTTATTTATTATATTTTTGAAAAATTCATTGGGATAATTGTTGACAATGGAATTAACTTAATTGCCTAGCTCTGCACAGAAGTTGATTACGTTGAATGTCTTCTGATGTTAAAATAATTGAATTAATAGCATTTGATAATAGCTCCACTGTCTCTCCAGGAAAGTTTTGGTGGTCTCGCTCTTGTTCCCAGTGGGCAAGTAAAACAAGACCCATAAATAACAATAAAGGCCGAGCCAATCCCCACTGAAGCCTGCAGAAGAACTTAATTGACTTCAGTAGGGGTTGGATGAGGACCTCACTGGGAATGCTGTTATCCTACGCTGCAGAGACATGCAATGAGAAGGGCTATAGGGAGGCTTTGCCAGATGGAACATGAGCTCTCCTAGGTCATTCCAGGCATTCATGGAAGTGTCTGTCTAAGGAAAAAAAACCCTAAAACAGAGTTTTATTTGCCAGGGATGATTCCAGAAACTGATTTCAAGGCACGTGGTTTTCTGAAATCCTTTCTAAGCAGCATTGTTTCTGTTGAATTAAACTGATTTGAGACCCGCTGGCCGTAAACATTTTACTTCAAGCAAAGAACCTGTAAAACAAAAGTGAAATCAGTTATGCATTCAGGAATTGGTTATTGGCCAATAACTGATTTGTATAAGTTCTGGACATTCTTCGCAATGTAAAGGGAAAGCAAGGGAAATGTTAATGGGAGATGTGCTGGACACATACTCTCCTGAAGTAGATGAAGGTGTGTGAGATAAATATGTCTACAAAAGTATCTCCTGTAATTCATGTATGTATTGCACAGCTGGCAAGCACAGTGGGCAGTTGTTTGACTTTAACTATCCAAAAAGGCAAAGAAAATAATGTGATGAATTTTGATTAATGCAGTGTCCCCTACTAATCAGTATCTCGCTTATTCAGAGTTGCTGCTTTTTCTGATGTACTTTCGTGTAGTTCATTTTTAAAAGTCCCTTAAGTGTCTGTTTCCTTAGGGCTGTCCACACTTTGGCAGCCATCAGTTAGACCAATGAGTGCCAAATGTATTTACCGTAGTAAACTCTTAAGTTTATACACTGCTGGATAAGAAGGTATATTGACTAGAGAGGACTGACTGACCAAAGTCAGCTGTATTATATGCACCATAAAAATCAGCGAGGTGGGCAACTATACAGTGGCTCTACAATACGAGGCAGTTTAATACTAAACAAGTTCTTGCTATGTCCAGATTGGCTTGTCTTTCATGCAACTTTAGGGGACAAAAGTGCTGTGATTTCCTTTGGAAAAGAAACCAAATGTTTGTGTGGTTATGAAAATGAGACACATTGTGTTCTTTTTGCTTTAGAATGTAAATACATCTCTTTTTTCCCCCTTTTATACATTGTTAACAGATTTTTCCATATGAAATGCTCATGGTGACCAACAGAGGGCGAAATAAAATACTAAAAGATGTAGACAGAACCAGGCTTGAGGTAAGAGAAGCAAGTTCCTAAATGCTCTTTCCTGCTG